TAAAAGTATCAAATCATAAATAAATAAAGTGTAATTTTTTAACCATAAATAAAGTATAAAATTATAAATGATTAATTAATTATTTATGAGTCACTTATAATTTTTTTTCCAAGAATATAAAGTATAAAATCATAAATAATTACTTTAATTTTTCACTTATTTTGCATTTGTTACGCAAAATTCCTTCTATTTCTGAAATCTACATAAAATATCGTTTGGTCCACTAAATATCCGAAATGACTTTCATAATAACGTTAAAATTTGGTAAGCTACCACATGATGAAGACGAAGAAGTGAAAGAAAATTTTTAACCAACTTTAATTATTCAAGATAGGAATTTCAACAAATTAATATAAAAAGTTGTCAATTGTCATGATCATCATCATCACATCATCAGAGTTATCAATGTAATAAAAGATTGCTCAAATAATGGATCAAACTTATAATGGGTTGCCGTGGGGCCATTTAAGTTGACAGAATAGGTATGGAATTGAAAATCAAGTATGGCCTCGAAGACTTAATTTCATATATCATGAAATGAGTGATCTGTTGAAAGTTGTCCCGCATAGAAAATTTCCTATTCTGCGTTCTACAATTCATGTATGTTTCAATAATAAAGGTATATTTTTGTTCGCTGGCCTATGTTTTGTGACCATTTAGTCTTTAATGTTTCTATAGTATATAAGTTATTTATATTCGCTCTCAAAATGATGTCATTTTCGGTTGAAAAATTTAAAAATTATAATGAAAAAGACTATTATAATCCTGAAATAAATTAGAATTACAAAAATACCTTGATTTTCGCCTCAAAACAACGTTGTTTTGAACTCAATGTAGATAAATTATTTACATTGACAGTAGAAAAAATAAATTTTTATATAATATAATATAATGAAAAAATAAATTAAAATATTAAGTCACTCTTTTGTTTAGAAGAGACAGTTATATTTACTACCATTTTAACTTTACTACTCTTATAACTTGATTAATTACCGTTGGATCAATTTAAAATCAAGGGTTAAAAAATGAAAAAAATTAACTTTATTAATTTTAAATTGATCCGGCAGTAATCTCAGGTAATAAAACTAAAATGACAGTAAATATAACCTTTTCGTTAAAACTAACTGACCAGACAACTTTTCTTGGATTTAATTAAGTGGACTCCTAGTTTCTAAACTGATAATTAATTGTTCTTTGCAGTTTCAGTTTATACATATTACACTGATATATTCGTTTTAGGTTGCTGGTTGCTACTTATATAGTTCAAGTAATGGTGGTGATGCTACTACGGAATGCTATCTATTTAATCACTATGGGGTAAACTTTTTTTAATCTGGTTATGCTTAATATATGGAATTAACGACTACCGAATATGCAGCTGCTTGTATTGATATCATATCAATTATTGGTTTGAGAATATTATATATATATTTTTTTTATGGAAGTGCCCATTGGGGTTTAACAAGCATGCATCATAGTGGAAAATTAATAGAGTTGGTTGTTTGGGGTCCTTGATGCGTATTTGTTTGTGTCATTAATTCGAGAACCGATAAGAACACTAAGTCCTTGTTTGCTGTGACGTATAAGGCATGATAGTATAAGCTTATACTATACGTTATGACATTTTCAGTTATTTGGTGTTACCATCGTATAGTATAAGCTTATACAGCATAATCTCTTAATACATCAAAACGATGTATAACTTAATCCAATCTAAGGGAGAGGGATAAGGCCTGATAAGAAATTGGTGTATTAATATCGTTGACCAATGTAATTCTCAAAAATTAATATATTATTTTGATATTAATCTATTAAAATAAAAATTAATTTTTCAATATATTAATTTTTAAAATACTGAATATTTTTATTTTTATAAAAATTAATTTATATTTTGGACACACTGATAAATAAATTTTAAAAAAAATTAATATCATATGATATTTTTTGAAGAATTATATAAATTCTTTATTAAAAGATATTTTTATTAAAAATATTTATTTGTACCCATATAGTATTATATAGTGCATTACTATATACTGGATGATATTATCTTATACAATATATTATTTTATACAATACCGTGTCAAACGCTGGATAGTATTAAAATTCAATCAGGTCTTATACAATCAGGCCTTATACTATCAGATCTTATACTATCAGGCCTTACCCTATACTATGCACCAAACATGCCCTAAGGCTCTCTTTGGTGTGACGTATAAGACATGATAGTATAAGCTTATTCTTACGTTATGACATTTTCAGTTGTTTGGTGTTACCATCGTATAGTATAAGCTTATACAACATAATCCCTTAATACATCAAAATGATGTATAACTTAATTCGGCATAGGGGGTGAGGGATAAGGTCTGATAAGAGATTGATGTATTAACATCGTTGACCGACCAATGTAATTCTCAAAAATTAATATATTATTTTAATATTAATCTATTGAAATAAAAATAAAATTTTCAATATATTAATTTTTAAAATATTGAATATTTTTATTTTTATAAAAATTAATTTATATTTTGGACACACTGATCAATAAATTTTTATAAAAAATTTAAATTCTTTATTAAAGAATATTTTTATTAAAAATACTTATTTTTATCATATATAGTATTATACAATGCATTACCAAATACTAGATGATATTATCTCATACAATATATTATATTATACAATACCGTGTCAAACGCTGAATAGTATTAAAATTCAATCAGGTCTTATACTATCAGGCCTTATTCTATACTTTGTACCAAACAAACCTTAAGCTGACGGTGGGGAACTGATAAGTGTCTAAGACACTATGTTTTTATGGCTAAAAAGAGTTTAAATAATTATTAAAATAGTTAAAAATATAGTATTAAAACAATAAAACAGTAAAACAGAATGAATTGCCAACAAATAAACAAATTCTAAATATTTGTTGTTGTTTCAGGTTGTTGAGATTGGAATACTGGAATAACAAAGTAACAAAATGAGGCAACGAATACGCGGAGCAACGGGGAAATCAGAGATTAAATAATAAATAAAATAAAATTGGTAACGCTCGTTCCACTTCTCGCTAAAGTGAGCAAGTGGGCGAGCAGCTCGCAAAGTTCTTAGCTAAAGCTAGCAAGTAGGCGAGTAGCTAGCAAAGTTGCTAGCTAGAGCTAGCAAGTGGGCGAGCAGCTAGCAAAGTCACTAGCTAGAGCGAGCAAAATGGCCAGCAGCTCGCTAAGGTCTTAGCATAGGCTACCGATGGAGCGAGCGGATCTAGGAAATTAAAGCCCATATTTTCCCTTTAAATACAATGCGAAGGAAGCCGTAAAAATCATTTCTGGAACGCGGAGAAAGAAGGCACTTGAGACGAAGCGAAGGAAGGAGCATAAGCGTAGCACTGGATCGTGGCAGAGGAGAAGGAAGGAGTCAACTCTGCACCATTGATCATCACTTTTAGACAAGTTTACCATGAACTCAGTTTCTTTTACAGTAGATTTTTATTCTGCATTTATAATTATGTCTAGCTAATTTACTTTTAGTAGTTAGGAAGATACAGAACCAATGGGTTCTTAGTTGATGTCTGTTTATTCTTATGAATTATATTCTTGTCTTTGAATTATGCAATCAATCGGATATATATGATTAGTTTTATTTATGACTTGATCACTCGTAGATAAACATACGAGTCACATATGACAATAGGGATGTTGGTATGTGATTCTGATTGGTTGATTGCTAGAATTTGCATGATCTAGGGATAGACTTGTGAATTTTATAACTTGAGTTCTTGCGTTAATGCTTATTCTATGAGAAAGTACTAAGGGATTAGGCTTTGGATTAGAGTAAAGGATTGGATTACCAAGGGATTGAGATTTAATCAATCATAGAAAGAATTGTTAATAATTCAATCTTGAATGTAATCGTGAGAATAAACAAACACGTTAAGAAACCATTGGAGAAGTTGAATCCTAACTACACCTTTTTATTGAAAACTTAAATCAATTTCTTTTAGCTTTAATTAATTCTGAATTAAATTTCTAAAATATTAAAAACCAAAAATAAGTTTATAAATTCTGTTTTTACTTTAATCACAATATTCTCAAGAAAACCTTTAATGATCGATCCAACTTTAATTAAATAAATAGATTATTGCTTGGTCATCAGTCCTCGTGGGATCGATAACTCTACTTTATCACTTTATTACTTGTACGACCGGTGCACTTGCCGAGTTCGTCAACAGGAACCCCGTTTGGGCTATGCAGTACAGAATGAACTTCTAATCTGAGAATAAACTATGAACTTCTAATCTGAGAATAAACTATTAAATTGTCTAAAATTGATAAGAACTGCATCTGATAGGAGTTTATATTTGTTAATACTAAAATTGATAAGAACCACGTTTGGGCTATGCAGACGAGAAGATTATCGATGAAGTTAAGACTAATTATACAGTTTATATTTGTTAATTGATATTCTTCTGAATAATTTAGCCCATAAAAATGGGGCTTGATTTTATTTCGTGAACTGTGTGCATGATATATAAATCACTGAATTGATTTGTTGTTCTTTTCAGGACACTGCTATGGTTATCTTTCTACCATCTAGCTACTTGGTTTTAACTTAGCATTCTTCTATTCTCCTGTCCTTCTTCTAAGAAGCTACGGCTGCTTAAGACTTAGGAGTCCATCATAAAATCGTTAGATGAAATAATAAAAGTAGATTGAAATTTGAATACATAATAGGCTCAATATTTTGTTTGAACTGTTAGAATTACTTTTGGATATAGAATGTATTGGGTCAAACTCATGTTTGGTTGAGAAACTATAATGAAATTCTGAGGACCTAACCCAACCCAACCCAACCATGCAATGGGCCAATATTCCACCAAAAAGTAGCATTTTATGATATGCTTACTTTTTGGTAAACTTGTACATAAGTTCTTATAGGACTACTTTCTAATAACATTTCAAACATACCCAAATAGTTCACAACTAGTACCAAAAGATGACTCTAATTTAAAAGATAAGGGAGGAAGCAAGAATTGGTTGTTGAATAAGCATTCCTCTTATTTGGCAATTGGGCATTTGTTTCCCCTTGATGTGAACACAACCATCAACCCAAAGCCATTCCCATCTACCTTTATCTCCAACTTTTTTGCAAACTATCATTCCAGATCCAAGGTCTCTGTACAAACAAATAGCATCCTCATTACCCACACACTTAACACTGTCCCAATTTCCCTTCCCTGATAACAATCTCAACCCCAATTCAGCTGGCACCTTATCTGCTAGACACCATTTGTCCACTTCATTCAGCTCCCAAATGCAAGCATTCTCACCACACGTGCCACCAACCAATGCCAATGCTCCATTCCACCTAACAAGTGAGGCAAATTCTAGCCTCTCAGCAATGGGAACACCCAACTCCCTCCATGTATTTGTGCTAATATCAAATCCCATAACACTAAAGGCCCTAGCTGAGGTTATCCAGTACAATGTACCATTGATGTACACATTCTCATTTGGTGTCCAAACAGTAAGCCTAACTGCAAATTCCACAGGCATGGACCCCACAATTTGCCACGTATCAAGCTGTGAGTCATACATTTCTAAAGTGGTTTCATAGGTGGCGCCACCATGTTCTGCCTCAGACATGCCACCAGCCACATAGACTCTAAACCTTGGAAACTTATCACCAACATGGTTTGACTTTGACTCCAAAATGGTAACAACAACTCCCACAGCAGGGTTAGTCCTTGAAATGTTCAACCGAGGAAGGGACCTAAACTGCTTTGTAAAGGGGTTGCATAGAGCAAGTTCCAGTGTTGTAATATTGGTGAGCCTTAACAGAAGGAGACTCCCAATTGGAGAAACTGGTCGAACTGCACATGGGACTGGTAAGAACTCAAGGGAAAGCTCGTGCCAAATGTCCATGACAGGGTTATGAACATAGCAGCATGGTCTGTTGTTACGAATTGGAAAAGCCAGGAACCATGGTGGCAGAGGCTTAGACTGTGTTGAAGAACTTGTTGGTGTCAGAGGATAAGCCTTGGCACATGTTTCCCAATTCCTGCAAGCTGATCTTGCTCTGGCTAAGGAGCCTGGGGAGAGAAAGGAGAAGATTTTGGCCAAGAGATCAAAGGGTAGGTTGCTCCACATAGACATAGCTCAAAATTGTAAAGGACGAAGATTTCAGTGTCTGGTAGGTAGAGGGAGAGGCTATGTTAATTAGCATATCAACATAATATAACATTGGGGCGTTTGGTACGCGGAATTTTGGAAGATTTCTGGGAAACTGAATTTTTCTAAAATTAAATTTTCGGGTATTATTGTAAACTGAATGTAAAAATCATATTTTTGAAAATTAAGATTCCCGGGTAAATAAAAATTTCTCCTGTACCAAACGCCCCGTATATGTATTTTGTCAGCATTCTTATAGAATTTAAATCTTAACAACGAGAAGTTTAGTGTCTGTCATGATGTATTTCTCACTATCCAACAAAGGTAAACTATTCACTAGTGAATATATATCATTCTCTATTAGCGAACAGACATGACGCTTCATGGTCAATAGATATTATTTATCATGACTCATCATAATTTATAAATGGCAAATTGAAGAGTTATGTCACTAGAACATAAATTTTTTTTTCCTACTGATACATAGAAAACAACGCCAGTTTTTATTTATTTATTTCTTTATAAAAGTACAGCGATCCCACAGACATTGTGTTTGTAGGAAATTGAGATTTTTTCCTGTAATATTACATATATAAACTCTTTTATAAATATGAAAAAAAATATAAAAAATCCATTAATGATTTATAAATATGAAATGGAATAAAAAAATGATCAATGGTTTATAAATATGGTAGTAAATCAGAAAAAAATGGAACAATTTTTTTTTGATTTCTTTCTTACATTGAAACTCTGCCAAAATGATTTTCGAAATCTTTTACATTCAATTTTCATTCATTATGTATGGTAATTCAAATAAATGTTGCATCTGTTGCCATCAACAAATAGAAATAATTCATTTTATTTTAAAAGATAATTGTTGATGAATTTTGAATATCATAAAAAAGACAAAGTTATCTTAAGAACATAATATCGAATATTGGGTTCAAATTTTTTCTAATTACATTCATATATTTTGGTACCATATATTTTAACTTTGTATTTTAATTTTGTGTGTGTATTATTAAAAGAGTTTTATTAATTTTATATTAAAGGAGATAAATTATCTCATGTTATAAAGATAAATTTATGAGCTCCACAACATAAAAAAAAAAAAGGCAGCATAACTATTAAAAAATATGTAAAAAAAAAAAAAATTATCTCAATGTAACGTGAAAATAATTTTTTTTTTTATTAAAATGATTGTTCTGTTTTATACATGTCATTCACTATTACTTTTGCGCTCCTACAGTTTTTATCATTTAATTACTATGGAACTGATCAAAAAATTTCAGAGACTCGGGGACACTAAACTGTGTGTAGCCAGTATTACTCTTACCAGAATTTGTGGTCCTTCGTACAATTATTAGAGGCAAATTATTGCATTGGGATGTGTGACTGACATGTGATGTGGAGCTATGTCATCACACCCGCATGTGTGAACTTGACCAGTTTTAATCTAGAGTAAAATATATTTTGTATCCCTAAAAAAATTATGATCCTCATTTTAATTTTTATAAAAAAAATTAATGCTAATGTTCTAATAAATTTAAAATATGTTTATTTAGTTAAAATAATGATACTTACAAATTTAAAAAAGATCTACAATAATATCTTAAAAGAATTAAAATATATCTACTTTAAATTTTATAGGAGCTAAATAGCTAATTTTTTTTATATAAAACTAAAATGATGACCATATTTTTTATTAAAGATCTAAAAAAAACTTTACTCTTGAAATTAATAATATCTTCCTTTTGTAACTGCATTGCCTTGAAACATATGTAATATGTTCCTTGGAGATATCCAAAGGGTGAGAGAATATATACTGTAGTTAGCGTTCTGCACTTTAGCATCCATGTAAATGATTTGGCTGCCTCCTCTCCCTTATTTGAAAGCAAATTGTATTATTTTAGGATATTTTAGGCGAGAGAAAGATGAATCCTAAATTCTTTTAGAATGGGAGATATTTTAACTATCAAAATTATCTATTACCAATTCACTACCTTCACAATTATCATTGGATCAAGGAAAGAAAATGTTAAAAAAAAATTGAAGAGAGAGAAAACATTGATCCAATGGTGATTAAATTTGAAGAGAGAAAAAACATTGATCCAATGGTGATTATAGAGGTAGTGAGTTGATAATAAATTTTGCTAGTAGTAAAAATATTCTCACTCATTCTTTTATACAAAAAAAAGGTATTACTTTTTTATGTAAAGATTCATAAGTGCTGTTGGGCAATTGTTTATGTTTTTTCTTCTTTAATGATATATTGTCATAAATTTAAGTTGTGATTAAAGTTTAATATAAGAGATTTGCATTTATTATTTAATATGATACAAAAAAATTTCCTACACACACAATATTTTGTGAGGTCCTCACTTTTTGAAACAAAAAAAATAAAAATTAAGGCACGCAAAATGAATCTCTATAACATTATACAATTATTTTTTGTACCGTATAACTCTTATAAAACTCTTAATACAAAAGGATAACTATATCTAATAAGGGTTTTCGTTTTATCCTTTAACATAACACAACAAACTTTCTTACTCTTACAACATTTTGTGGGACTCACACTTTTTAAAACAAAAAAATAAATAAAAAATTAAGGCACGCAAAACGAATCTCTATAACATTACATAATCACTTTTCATACCACATAACTCTTATAAAACCCATCTAATAATTACCAGTTTGAAGAAAACGTCCGTGAAATGTGGCTTTATGGACTTTGAGCGCTCTCAAGTTGTTATCGGAGGATTTAGGGCTATATGTACTTACTTATTGCTTCATCAATTAATTAAATCACTATTATGGCTTTGCTTAGAAGTTAGAACCTTATCCTCAAGAAAAGATAGTCAAAGATAAGGTGATATAGATTACGTTACTGGCAAGTGGCAAGATAGAAAACTTTGCGTATAGTGAAGAATGACTGCATTGAGATTGAAATGATACTAATATCGGTATTTTGTAACAGACTTGCGATTTCGGTCCTTACTCTCATTCAATATTATTAAATTGATCTTCGGTAGATGTATTAGGTATTTGTATTACTCATTCAATCAATAAGTCACTCTTTAAATTGTATGATCCGATAATTTTATGTAATTATATAATTTATATTAAAAAATTATAAATATATTCAAATATTTAAAAAAATAGAAAAATTTCAAATATTTTAATATAAAAAATAATAAATCACACATTATTATCCAATAAATGATCAAACAAAAATATAATAATCGTGATACGAGTTTTCAAGTTCAGTAAACGATATATTTAGCTATAAATCAAATCAAAATTTCTTACATTGTGCATAATTGAGATAATATTAATGTTGTAGGTATATAACATATGTAAGTCAATGAACAAAAAATACTCAAATATGCCCATTATGATCTCTTTTTTTTGGAACCGAGTCGGGTCACCGATTAACCGGCTGGATTCCACCGGTTCTGATTTATGACCGGTCCATTACTTCACTCAGACCAATTATATAACTAATTTACCGATTCCCGAGTCTATCCAACCAAACTAGCCTGATTTTATTAACATTGTTATCTTCTTTGCGAGGCATGCTCAATTTTTTCACTCGATTTCATGTAATTGCCGGCTCAGTTTGGACTGCCCAATATTTTCTGAACATATTTTAGTCTGATATATATATAGGTGGGATCCTTTGACACCAGTGTAAAATTTGAAATTTGATACTTCATCTGAGAGCCATTAGATCAAAAAAGATCAATGGTGTCACATGCTTACAAAGCAGAGTCGTTGATCTTTTTTGATCTAACGGCTCTCAGATGAAGTGTCAAACTTCAAATTTGACACCGGTGTCAAAGGATTCTGCCTCATGTATATATGTATATAAAGAGATAGGTTATTCTGCTTACTATTATTTTTTCTATCTTTGTCTACTCTTTTCAATATCGTTCGATTACAATCTCATCTAACGGTTGATATTTGCAATATAAAATAATTTTTTTTTCTTTTCACTTTCTCCCACACCTTTTTTCTCTGCAGCCAAGACTAACAATAATAAGAAAATCGAATGAAAATCACGTCTTGAATTTAGATGTAAAAGCTACACAAATCAACATTCCCATAGCAACTCGTTGATTGAGCGAAGTGAAGGCAATTCAGTTTTTCAAATTCAAGATGATATTTTTTTTACATATTTTTACTTAATAAAAAGTTTCGAAGCACATGATCAGGAAAACATGCGGTCGAGGTCGCAGAGCGAATAGCAAAGCGAGAAAGGAATATAACTGCTTTTGAAAGCATTTAGTCGAGTCCGCAAAGCGAATAGCAACTGCAATTGACCTCATAATAAATTTCCTTGTTTGATTGAATGTATATATACAAACAAATCTAGGAAAAAAATATAATTTCTTTTGAAATTAATCCAAACAAAAAAGAGAGGAAAATTTGCACAAAATCAGAGCTGAACTTGAAATTTGCACATAAGCACGTTTGAATTTGATTGTCTCATATTTGGGATTTATAGAATTATATGGATTATTTTTAGTTATTCTTTCTACGATCACCTTTAATTTTGAAGATATTTTATTTAGGGATAGACAAAATAAGTGACATTTTTTTTTTTTTTTTGATAACATTAAGGGGCGAAGCCTCAAACAAAAACAAACAAACAACCAGAAACAAAAAATAACTATCCAGGGTCTATATCCCTACAAGAGGAGATTCCCTGAAGATCGTGATCAAATAACTGAGCAAGGTGAAACGACATAATTCTATGACTCCAGAATCCAGTATCTTTGTGAAGAGCAGACTTGGCTAACCAATCTGCACAGGAATTAGCTTCTCTTGGAATATGAGAAAGCGTTACCTCCCAATCCTGACCGATGAGTGCTTGTATCTTAGCCACTATACGAGGCTGACAAGCTGCATTGCAATCAGCAAGCAAAGAGAATACTTCAGAAGCATCTCCTTCTAGATCCACCTTCTTAAATCCCAGTTGCCAAACCAATTCCAGACCTTTTAGAGTTCCCCAAA